CCCTTTCCCCCTCCTTGTGATTCCCCCTGCATACCCCCTCAACTTCACCCAGGCGTGTGAGTGTGGGTGTCGAGCTGGTGCAGGACCCGGCCATCATCTTCCTGGACGAGCCCACCACGGGGCTGGACTCTGAGATGGCACTGGGGGTCATGGCGGTGCTGCGGCGCCTGGCGGAGGGCGGCAAGATGGTGGGACCCTGCAGCGCGGGGGGCAGGGAGAGCCTCTTTGCGTTTGCTGCGGTGCCCGGGAGTTTGGTGGGGTTCAGAACTTCGCGGCAGGGAGGGCCGGCGCGTGCGCGCAGGTCTGTGCTGCTGCGGTGCCGGAGAACTTGGTCCGGGGGCTCGGAGGACTGCATGCTGCGTAAGGTCGCGGGGCGCGTCTATGCACCATCATCCGCCCCTCATGCCGCTTGTGCCCTTCAGCGCGACCGTTGACCCAAAAGTCCACTACTTTGACCGCGTGATGACCATCCCCCAGGTCGTCGCCACCATCCACCAGCCCAACAGCGAGATCACCGAGACCTTTGACGACCTCACCCTGCTGGCCAAGGGCCGGGTCCTCTACACCGGCGCCTACCGCGGCGCCCCCCAGCACTTTTCGGCCGCGGGCCACCCCTGCCCCCTGTACATGAACCCCACCGACTTTTACATCCGGCTGTCTTCGAAAGATGACGTCGCGGATGACCTGGCGGCGCGCTGGGCGGCGGTCACGGCGAAGGGCAAGGATGTGAGCGGCAAGGCCCTGGGTGCTGACGAGGACGCGTCCATGCTGGCGCTGTCTCTGGAGGGCGCCGAGCGCGGCGGCCGCGACGCCAAGGGCGCGCGCGACGCCGCACGCGGCGGCCTCGCGCGCGCGTCGTCGCTGGGCGCGGCCGTGGGGGGCGGCGCGGCCGGGGCGGGGTGGTGCGGCGGCGGCGCAGGGCGGGCGCCGGCTTGGTACCAGATCTGGGTGCTGATGATCCGGTTCTTCAGGTCGTGGTGGCGCACGCCGGTGCTGATCGCCGCCGAGACGATCCAGTACGTGTTCCTGGCTATCTTCTCGGGGCTGGTCTACCTCTTCGTGGGCAGGGTAGGTGCTGGGCAGCTGCCCTGGACCTCTCTTCGACCCTTTTGCCAAGGGCCGCACGCGGTTGCAGCGGGGACAGCCACCACACAACCAGTGAAGGCATCATCCGCAACCTGGCGACCACGGCACGATAATTGTGCCCCCTGCACATACAGCCGACCACGAGCGTGTGCCGCATCGCCGTTTCACGCCCTCAACCAACCAGGCCACGGACCTTGATTCGGGGTATGACAGGATGGCGGCCGTCTTCATTGTGCTGGCGCTGCTGGCCTTCACGCCCTCGTACACCGCGGTGGTGGTGTGGGACCACGAGAGGCGGCTGCTGCGGCGGGAGACCAACACGCGCATGTACACCCGGTGCGCTTGCCGCACGCGCGGCGCATAATGATGCGCAATCAGCACTGCATCGGAGGGCGCGCAGTCCGTGCGTGGGAGCGCGGCCTCCCCTCACATCTGCCATGCACCATTCGCAACCGCTGGCAACAGCTGGGCGGGGCAAGGCCTGGTCACACAGTGTGGCTGCTGCGGCTCCCGCGTGCTGCAATCTCACAGCTGCCGGCTTGTCGCATCACACCCAGCAGCACCTTGCTGCCCCTTGTTAATCCTGCTGGCCTGGCATTGCCGATGTGCCCCCGCCCTCCTCCCGCAGCGGCGCCTTTTTCATTGCCAAGTCGCTCACGACATCGCCAATAGAGGCCGCCCAGGTGGCCGTGTTTGCCACAGTCACCTACCTCATGTGAGCGGGTGCTGCGTGGGCACATGCACATGCAATGATATGGGTAGATACAAGCCGCACGTATCAAGGCAACCAAACGGGCGGGGGCAGGGAGGCGCGCATGCAGGCGGGCAGGCAGGCATGCCGAAAGGCAGGCGGGCAGGCAGGCAGGCGGATGCCGCGCCCTGCTATGCTCTGGTGCAGTCGAGCACAAGTCACAGCACGCGTGCTCTCACCCCAAAGCACGAGGTCACCAGCATGCGAATGACACACGCAAGCACGTGCTGCGCATGTGTGAGTCTGCAACTCTGGCTGACGCCAACTCTGCGACTCCCCGCCTCCAAACAGGTTTGGGTTCCAGCTCCACGCCGGCCGCATCCTCACGTGGATCGCCACCCTCGTCCTCTTCGCCCTCTGCTCCGAGACCCTTGGCTACTTCTGCGCCATCGCCACCCCCAACGCCGCCATCGGGGTCAGCCTCATGAACACCCTGCTCGTGGTGCTCATGGCCTTCTCAGGCTACCTAGTGCGCCGCGTGCCCGTGTACCTCGCGTGGATTCAGAGGATCTCGTATTTCTCGTACGCAACCGACGTCCTCGTCAGCAACGAGTTCGCCGGCCTCACGCTCTCCGGCCCCGGCCCGGCCGGCGGCGCGGGCGATGTGTCCGTGCCCGGCGAGGCGTTCGTGCCGGCGGCGGTGCACACGGGGCTGGGCGTGGGGGGCAACATGGCGGTGCTGCTGGGGATGACGCTGGCGACGCGAGCGGGGACGTGGTGCTTGCTGGAGCTGGCGGCACGCGGCCGCTTCCTGTGATATCACCATCAATGGGGTGTTGCGGCTGGCTTGCGCCTCGCCGGCTCTGCTGAGAGGTGGCAAACGGCCGGCCGCCGGCTGCCAGCGGCGCGCGGGCCGCAAAGCAGAGGTGCCCTTGTTTGGAAGGTCTAGGGTTTACAAAGCTCTACTCCCTGCATACGGCTCGCTCCTTCCCAGAACCTTGAAATGTATCAGCTGCACACGCAAACAGCATGCATTGCGAAAATTGGTCCTTGCTGACTGGACATCGTGGCTGTGTGAAAACCTGTCCTCAATTGCAAATTGATTGCTTTGCTTACTTGCGCAATTGAGTATTGCAGAAGGTTTGGTGCCTTGCTATGTTGCGACGTGGCACCTGTATCAATGAGACACATGTTTTGGGCCAATCGCATGGGCTGCACACCGTATGTGCACACCCGCCGTGGACGTACATCAGCTCCTGTTGCTGGACGGCGCCCGTAATTCTGCAAGGGGGGATGCCCGCCGGCCCTGGCCGATTGCGCTGGGCACTGGCTGTCATGCATAGCTGCTTGCACCTGCTGAAACCTGCCGCGCCCTACTCGAAGCTCACCCATCCAGCTTGTGTTGACCACTGTTCCCAGCCACATACAATGCGCCCATGCTCCGCACACCTCCTTGTGCAAATGCTTCAAAGTCAAACTTGATGCATGAGCCTGGATGGCTCGCTCCAGAAGCTGGCGGCCGCAGGACGCTGTAACAACCGCCTTTGATCCTGATCCTTGCACAGCACCCGCGCGTGGAAGCGCGTGAATTTCCAGACCACTGTTCCGGGTGCACACTGGAACAGTCTGGACGGGGGCATGCATGTCGATTGGTGCGTGCTTGCACGCTGCATAATGAAACCTGCAAGCTTGACCGTACGTGCTACTAGCCGTTCCATACAGTTACCCAAACCATAACGACCGCTTCTTGTGGAAGCGGGCACCAGCCGCCGCGGGCGAGGCCCACGAGTCGAGGGCGCACAGAGCGCATCTTACTCGCAGCGTGCCTGCCACGATCCTTTGCGCTGAGAGCGGCCTGCCGCCGCTCGCGCGCGCGCGTGGCTGCGCGCAGGCGCGCGGCAATGGAACCGTATGATCAAGTCTGATGAGGGGGTTTTGAAATGGGCGTTTGTGGGGGACCTCTCCCTAGCCTGCTCTCTGAGCCCGGCACGGGCGCGTCGCACGTGGAGCGGCGCGTGGCTACACACACTTGATTGGTTAGCAGCCGAGGGGGGCGCCCCTGGCGCCTTTGTGGCAGCCTATGCGGCCGGGGTGCACAACACCCTGAATCAGGGCCCGGTGGCGATGGCGGGCCTTCGCCAGCAATTGGGAGGGTGGGAAGTGCAGGCATGGGACCATGCGCTAGCCAACCGGGCTGCACGGGCCATCCAGCAGGG